ACATTGGGTTGAGAAGGAATCAAACCCCAATGGCGAAGGACGGCCCTAAGAAATGGGTGTAGGGGAAAACGAACTCTGTCCTCCGCAATGGATAGGAGAGGAAAGACGATCGTATTTTGGTCGTCTCTCTCAATATCCAGTGTATTGTCCGTTACTAAGGATATATAGACATCATCAGGGATAGAAAAATGTTGTCGGAATCCAGAAATTCGACCCTCGGACAGGAGGTCTTTCAAATGCTTAGCCATTCTAGTGAGGACCCAAGGGTTTTCTAAATCAAAAATAAATATGAAAAATAAGATTACAAAGAGAGAAGAAGAAAACTTACGAAAGACAAAGGAGACAAGGAGAGACGGAGTGGAGTTGCAGAAAATGCAAGTCAGAGAAGAGACACCGATTGGCAGTCCATGAGGCACAAATATTCGAAAAAGCATGAATTTGAAAAGACTGAAGTTTCAAATCATAATAAATGCGAGAGATGCACGAATGAGGCGGGGAAGCATTACAATGACCAAAAAGCATGTCCGCGTTCTGACACGCATCGGGAAGGGAGTAAACCGTCGAATATTTGACTTCCCAGACTTGAAGCCAAACACGCCGACTAACTGATGCTAGTGGAGTGTTTGGGGGGCAATTGTGGGAGCCGAATAATTGGCAGAGCCAGAAGCGTACTCTAGACAGATGTTACTCGGCTCAATTCTATGCAATTACGAGGCCGAATACAATAGTTATGCCAAACAGATATTGAGCTGTGGAGCAAAGTAAAAAAGAGGGTAATGAGTGAAAAGTGGGCCAGGCCCCGAGGCCTAGGAAACAAGTATAAATAAAGGAACGACAGACTAAGAAGGGGATGTGAGAAACATTACGCCAAACTTAAAGTAGAAGTAATCTAGAGTGTTGAAACTGACTTGATCGTCGGAGAGCTAATTCTGGCACCCCCGACCGGAGTGTTTATTCCTTTTCAGGTGACTAGTAGAGTATCATGAGCGTCCCCCGAGATCAGAAGAGTATTTCCAAACCACTTCCCCACAGTAGGTATTTTGTTAGAGTATTACTATACAAGTTTAAAAATTAGAACCAATTTTTAAGCTCTATGATGTGTCAATTAATTAAGATATTTAAGATAACACACTCTCTCTCTCATATCTTTTCAATTATCAACCAATTCTTTATGGTACGAATTATTGTATTGTAATTACAATAATTTAAACGAGGACAAATTACATTTATTACTCTTGTATTTTCATTAAAATTTCAATTTAAGCCCTTCAGTTTCAATTTCAATAGTTAATCCCCTACACTTTAAAATCAACTTTCAATCTTACTCGTTCGTCTATGTACCATTAATAAAGTTAACATAAAATTGAAAGTGGATGAACTAAAATGAAATTTTGGTGAAAGTATGAGGACTAAAGTGAGATTTTAATAAAAAGTTTATGAGTGTTAATCAGACAACAAAAAAATAAAATATGCTTCGAATGACAAATTTCATCAATTTTTGTAAATAGTTGATGAATAGAAGGGTGAGATTACAACTTGACTTAAAGTATAAAAAGGTTGACAGTTACAACTAAAAGTGTGATTTTGGTATAAGGGTACTAAGTGTAATTTACCCATTTAAACAATATATAGGAACCAAACATTTTTGTCTTCAAAAGTAAAATTCGTAGTAAAAAGAACATTTCGGGATCAATTCCTATAGTTGGTAAAAGGTCATTTTGAAAAGTTAAAAAAAAAAAGAAAAAAAAGATAAAAGTCTCTTAGCATTGAAATTTTAAAAAATATCACTAATAAATCAAACAATTTGGTTTTAGACAAAAAAAAAAAAGAAGACTTTTAGCGACAAAATTTTAAAAATGTCAAAACAATTTGATGCCAAAAAGGTTTTTATTTTTTAGACAAATTTCAATCCCAAAACGATAGTAATTTATCACTAAATGTTCAATTTGTCGCTACAAATACAACAATAACACTTTTGATAATTAAAATATTTCATTTTAAAAAAAATGAATTTGTCTCTAAAATGATAATTTCTTATAATATATCATTTTTTAAGGTATGTACCTTGATTCCGACTTCTTTGTCATAATTACCTTGCAATGATCTTACTCTGTTTTTATTATAACAAGACATAATAAAATATATAATCTAATGATTCGAATTAAAATAAAATTAAAATAACATTAAAATCACACACTTCAAAACAACATAACTCTACTTTAACTATAAGCAGTAAGAATTATCACAAACAAGAAAAAAGAAAAAAAAAAAAAGAGCTATTGCAAATAATCCTAATTCATGTACTTTAGCTTTTCCCCTCACGAGTGACACTTGGCCCGTTTGGTAGAGCTGTGGAAAAGTGATTATAACTTATAGCCTAATAGCTTATAGTTTATAGTTGTAAGCATAAGCTGATTTTTGACTTATAAATTAAGCTTTTCCTCCCCCACTTAAAGAATAAGTTGATTTTTGACTTACAAAAAGCTATAAACTGTATTGTTAAGCTGAACCAAACACATCAAAATAGCTTAAATTAAACTAAAAGCTGAAATAATCTGGAAATAAGCCCTACCAAAAAGGGCCACTGGGAATCATGTCGATGCAACTTTTTAAAAATAGGATAAATTACACTTACATCTCTTAAAATTTAGATTTAATACATATCATCTCGTAGTATTTGAAAAATTACACTAACCCCCTATCATTATAATTATTTAGATTGAATGAAAATATTAAACTCATGCACTCTCTCTTTTCTTACTTTGCTTTACTTCCTTTGTATTTTTTTTTCCCTTTTCTTTGATTTACTTTATTTTTTTCAATATAATTTCCTCTATTTTTCTACTAGGAGTTGTTACTTTTTATATAAGTAGAAGGTTTGTGAAATGAGACTATTAACTACAGAGGTGAGTATGTAATTTCCAAAACGTCAGGGGGTGAGATGTAATTAGACCAAACCTTAGGAGGTGTCAATGTAATTTACCCTTAAAAATATTTTATTCCTAGAGAATGATTCTTATATCTTGTAAAACAAATCTTCAAAAAATCAAATTGACAAGATATTGATAACCCACTCATTAAAACATGTGTATCGAGAAAAATAAATGGCAAGAATTATTTTAAGCATAAAATTAAATACAAATGTAATTTGATGAAATAGTTAACAATATCCGAGAATGGCACGTGTTTATTTTAGGGCAAATTACACTTACATCTCCTGAGGTTTCTAACAAATACAGGGATCCTCCATGCGGTTTCAATAATTGCAAAAACCTCCCCTACTTTAACTGACAATATCACGATTCTCCAAATCCGTCAATTGTGCACAAACGACGTTACTTGCCTATACAGAATGACCATATTACCCCTTCATTTTAGGGCGAAAAAATACCAGTTCCATCAGAGTCATCTTCCTCAAAGCCCGAGTTCTGAATGTTACATTTATATATATGTAATTCTGAGGTAAATTAAATAATTTTAATTGAATATAATGTACACACACATATATATATATATATGTTGCATATATACAAATTAGATAATACTTGAGGGTTTGATTAAAGAATAGGGGCTTTTGATCTTTGCAATTTCCATCGATCCAACTATTTTCTATTTCTGAGCATGGACGGTGGTGCGACGAAGGCAACCGAATCGAACAACAATGCTGCCGCAAGTGGCGGTGGCAGTGGTGGTAGTGGTGATGTGATTGTCTACATCCGATGCTCTAATGGCTAAAGTTCTTGGCGCAAATTAGCCTTGACTCCACTGTTGGATCCTTCAAGTCCGTTGTTGCCTAGAACTGCGACATCCCCGCACGAGCAACAATGCCTCGATGATGATGACGGAGAAGAAGCCTCATCGAAAGGTTTCTAATAATATTCATCTTTACAGTGTGAATGTTCCGTGATGTAAATGTTAACACCATCAATGTGAATGTTGATACTGTTAATGTGAATATTTACATGTCAGTGTGAATATTCACATTATAAAATATATGAATGTTCACATCACTAAATTGCTAACCGTTCAAAAAATATTTGCAAGGGTAGAAATGTCCATAAAATATTTTAAATATGAGAATTAGAATTTGGTAAATTAAATATCCAAATAATAAGACTTATTAAAATACAAGGATATTTTATGAACTAATTGAGATACAAATACTTAAATTTTTTTTTTCTAATAAATCTCTAAAAAAAAATTAAACTAGGAGCCACAAGACAGGCCACAATGTTGACTTCAACCCTAGGCGTCTCTAAAGCTGTCCATGAATCAAGAGGGCTCTCGTATGAAAATTATATTACGAAATAAATATAAAATTTATTCGGTGCAAGTTCCATTTGATAGAATAGATGTGAATTTCCGCTATTCATTAGCTAGCAAGCAGGAGCAATTAAGATATTTTTTTTTTTAGTAGATTTTTAATTTTGGAAAAAGACTGTGGCCTCGACAAAGTCGAGGCTCGAATGCCTCAAATTGTTATTGTTGTTATTTTATTTTATTTTTTTTTTTTGAACTGTGTTGATTTTGTTGTTTTATTTGTTTATTTATTTGTTGGGCTGTGTTGGCTTGGTTATTATTATTATTATTTATTTGTTGGGCTTTTTTATTTTTTATTTTTGAAGGGTGGTTATGTGTAGGGGTGGGTTTAGGATTTAAGGTCTAAGATTTAAGAGGTTTATGGTTTTAAGGTTTAGGGTTTGAGAGGTTTAGGGTTTTAGGATTTAGGGTTTAAGAGGTTTAGGGTTTAGGGTTTAAAATTTAGGGTTTAAGATTTAGAGTTTTAAGATTTAGGGTTTAGGATTTAAGGGTTTAGGGTATACATAACCACCCTTCTCAAAAAAATTAAAATAAAATAAAATAAACCCAAACCAAACCAACACAAGAAAAAAAATAAAAAAATAAATAAAAATCATTATTCGAGGAAAATTCACGCCTCCAATTTCGAGGCCTTTAGCACGGCCGTTTAATTTTTAAGCTTTTTTAAGAGGTGAAAAAAGATGTGTTTAAGAATTATTTTTTGCAATTGGCAAGGAGTCTCATGCGCTCGTCGACATCAACGTGTGACACTCCTAAACCTGTCATATCTCGCATTGGTGGGCTCTGTATCTCCTCAAATTGGAAACCTCACCTTCTTGAGGACGATTGATCTCGGTAACAACAGCTTTCATGGTGAAATCCCCCAAGAAATTGGCAAGTTGTTTCGTCTGCAATATCTTTGGCTTAACAATAACTCTTTCCAAGGTGAATTTCCTACCAATTTGACTCAGTGTTCACACTTGAGAGGTATCCATATGTCCCGTAACAATCTAGGTGGTAAAATTCCTACCGAGTTGGGTTCTTTGTCCAATCTCTCCATCTTGACTCTTGGAGACAACCGTCTCACTGGAACTATCCCACTTTCAATTGGGAACCTTTCCAATCTACGTCTGCTTTGTCTACCGTATAATAATCTAGAGGGAAGCATTCCCACCCAACTTGGGCAGCTTTCCAAGTTGGAGTTTCTTCAACTGTCTGTAAACAATTTGTCCGGTATGGTTCCTACATCTCTTTACAATATCTCATCAATCTATTACTTCTCCATCGCTGACAACCAATTGCATGGAATTCTACCACCAGATTTAGGGTTGACCCTTCCAAATTTACAAGTATTTTTTTGTTTCATTAAATCAATTCTATGGCCAAATTCCATCGTCAATAGCCAATGCTAAAGGACTTACGCAGGTTAATTTTGCCGTGAATTTGTTTACTGGTCCCATGCCTATGAATCTGGGAACCCTTGATGCTTTAGAAACTCTAGGTGCTTCTGGCAATTCACTTGGAACAAACCAAGCCAATGAATTAATGAGCTTCCTCACTTCTTTATCCAATTGTTCCAATCTACAAGCTCTGGATTTGAATATTAATGATTTTAAAGGTTTTATGCCCCATTCTATTGCAAATCTCTCCACCAAGATCACTTGGTTTAGTCTAGAAAACAACTATACATCTGGAAGCATACCTCTTGGTATTGGGAACCTTGTAAATTTGTAATTCCTCCTTCTAGGTGATAACATGCTTACAGGTAGTATTCCAAATTCCATTGGAAAACTCTCCATGTTGGAAATCCTCATGCTTGAAAAAAATAATAACTCTGGAGAGATTCCATCATCTATTAGAAACCTGAGTAGGCTTGGTACACTTGACCTATCAACAAATACGATTGAGGGAAGCATTCCAATTTCTTTAGGCAATTGTACCAATCTACAACAAATTTATCTTGATTACAATCATCTCACAGGAGCAATACCTTATCAAATCTTTGGTCTGGCTTCCCTCTTTAATCTATCCTTAAGTCAAAATTACTTAATAGGACTACTTCCACAAGAAGTAGGTAACTTGAAAAACCTGGGCGGACTGTATGTATCAAAAAATAAACTATTTGGAGAAATCCCCGCCACTCTCGGCAATTGTGAAGTTTTAGAATTCCTCTACATCGATGGTAACCTTTTCGAAGGTACAATTCCGATGGCCTTCAGACAATTGAAAGGTATTCAAGAACTAAATGTTTCTAGGAACAATTTGTCTGGACAGATTCCAAGGTTTTTCGGGGAGTTTCGGTTAGTTCACTATCTCAATCTTTCCTACAATATGTTTGATGGTGAAGTTCCGATTGGAGGAGTTTTCACAAACATTAGTGCCTTCTCAGTTGTTGGAAATAGTAAGCTATGCGGAGGAATTAAACTATTGCAATTGCCTGCATGCACGATTGAAGTCTTAAATGAAAGGAAACAACCTTCCAATCATAGAGTAATAGTTCTAGTAGTTACTCTCACTATTGTTGTATTATCATTGTGCATTCTATCTATTCTTTACAGGAACAGAAGGTCAAGGAAGCAAGTCAATTTAGCCTCACCCTTGAAAAACCAATATCCACAACTCTCTTATGGAGAACTTTTTCAAGCAACAAATTGGTTTTCTCCATCCAACTTAATTGGTGAGAGAGGATATGGTTCTGTTTATAAAGGGATTCTCAACTCCGATGAACAAATTATTGCTGTGAAGGTGCTCAAACTACACGAACGTGGAGCGAACAAGAGTTTTGTTACAAAATGTGAAGCATTGAAGAACATTCGCCATCGAAATCTTGTCAAGATAATTACAACTTGCTCAAGCATTGATTTTAAAGGCAACGACTTCAAGGCTTTGGTCTTCGAGTTCATGGAAAATGGGAACTTAGAAAATTGGTTACACCCAAGTCTTTTAGAGAAACATGAACCTAAGAACTTGAACTTTGTTCAAAGGCTAAGCATTGCCATTGATGTGGCATGTGCATTGGATTATCTTCATCATCATTGTGAGATGGCTTTTATTCATTGTGATTTAAAGCCAAGTAACATTCTTCTTAACGGTGATTTGTGTGCCCATGTTAGTGATTTTGACTTGGCAAAGATTTTTTCAGCAACCAATGGAATTTCTATTCATTAGCAATCAAGTTCAATTGGGATTAGAGGAACAATTGGCTATGTTGCCCCAGGTAATTGTTTATTGCTTCTTGCGTTGAAATTGATTAAGAAATATTATTTAGTTACATTATATTATTATCTTGTGGTGAACTAAAAACCAATTACGAGATTATATAGAAATTAAGCCATGTTTTAGAGATGACTTTCCTTGACTTTGCCTCCTTGTTTGTATAGCTACCACAACAAATTAAATCAACCATTGTCCTACCCCTAATATATTTGAACATAATTTTAACCCTTGAGATGTTATTTATTTTTTATTTTTTATTTTTTCAGCAAAAGAAATATGACTTACTAGTTCAACAATCATACCAAAATTTAAAAACTTGGGCATTTTTTTCACCGTTTCATATTGCAGAGTATGGTATGGGTGAGGAGGTATCAACGCAAGGTGATATGTATAGTTATGGAGTGTTACTACTACAAATGTTCACAGGAAAAGGACCAACTAGTAACATGTTTACAGGTAATGTAAACCTCCATAGCTATGTAAAAATGTGTCTTCCAGAGCAAGTAATGCAGATCGTTGATCCCCAAATCATATTGGAAATGGAAGAGGAGCCAAGTAGGAGCATGCAAAGTAGTACAGCCAACATTTCTAAACTAGAGGCTTGCCTAGTACCAGTCATTCAAATTGGAGTTTCATGTTCTGCTGAAATGGCGAGTGAAAGAATGAGTGTGAAAGATGTTCTCAAAGAACTACACAAGATTAGAAATGTATTTCTTGGGTTAGGGGACAAAGGCATTAGGATGGAAGAAGAAATGATTCTTAACTAATATAGCGACCCCGGTCTTTTCCCATTTGATTATTGTATCCGGACTTGGGTTCCGTTTATTCTGTCATTGTATATCTGTTGTTGTCGTCCTTTATTTTCTCATTTGGAGTTATAGGATGTGTTGGGCATGTTTGTTTCAGGTTGGTTGGGCTCGTAAACCAAATGTTGCTGTCCAGTTTTTGGGTTGGTTGCTCAAGCCAGGATTTGGTCGCTCGAGCGAGGTTTGTTTTTGTGTCTTCTGGCTCGATCCAGATTTGCTTCGCTCGAGCGAGCGACTGCGTCTGGTATAGACCTGAGGGCAGTGCTTATTCGCTCGAGCAAGATTTTCTTCACTCAAGCGAGCGAGGTGTATGTTTTCGAGTTCCTTGCTCGAGCGAGCATTCCGTCGCTCGAGCGTGGTTCTGGGTTACAGACCTGAAGCTTCGAGTTTTTGGCTCGAGCGAGACTTTCTTCGCTCGAGCGAGGCTTTCTTGTGTCTGGGCGCTCGAGCGACCAATACTTCGCTCGACGAGCGAGCCTGTCAGGTTTAAATAGGCAGCATCAGCGTGTTTCAGATCAGTTTTCATACACTTTCAGAATCCAAAACCCTGTTCAGTTCTCTCTCCTCTACTCACCTTCTCTCTTAGATTGATCTACTTAGAGTGATTTCTACCTTAGATCCTTTATTAAAAAAAAAAAAAAAAAAAAAAAAAAAAAAAATGATGAGGTGAGTCGAAGGCTTCCATTAATCCTAACATTAGTGATTTGGAGGCACATTGGAATTGGGATTCATCTCTGTCTTCTCCATTCCGGGTTATTTTCTCGAAGTAGGGATTCCTACTCCATCTATAAGTTGTTCTAAGTTTTAGTATTTGATATGTTGGGGTACTTTGTATTTGCGGAAAACGCTTAGTTGTATAATAAATTAATTTGTAAATTAATTTAAAAATTGGAATATGGTTAAATCATGGAATTGGGAATTCATTGATTTAAATGGCGTAAGTTGGATAATTTAAATCATTCGCCTATTGAATGTTGATATATTTAGTTTCAGTTATGAAATAACCGTTTTGGGGCATCGGTGGAGATAGCCTGTGCTTGTGTAGACACTGCAGTTGGATTAGATAACTGAAACTAAATCATTGATAAGTCATCAATTTTTTACTGTTGAACTTAATACAGACATTTATGTATTATTGGTGTTGGTATATTTATGTGTTTACATAATTTTTTGTGGAAGGAATAGGGATTACTCCACGGTTAGGGAAGTAGGGATGAGACCTCTAAACCGATTTTTGTTTGGAGAGATAAGGGATTGAGACTCCATTATCATCATTTTATGTGTCTTATTTATATTGAAGTTTTGATTGATACGAGGCACTAAAAATGTTGTAATCAAACTGAAGTATGAGTGTTTGATTTTCGAGCTGAGTTCATCTGTTTGTGACATTGGAAAAGAACGTAATATGATATATATATAGTTTCACACGTGTAATTTGGGCCAGGTTCTGAGCCTATATTGATAAAGTTAAAGTAAAACGTGTCTTAGACAATAGTTCATGAAACTGTATAATGATGTATGCATTATCTTGCGTTAACCATTATTGAATGCTATTGCTTTATTCAATGCTTGTTTGGTTTAGTTATAATTGTCTATCTGGGCATCTGTGGCTCCCTATACTGTGGTACATCATATACAGTTCAGAGTGATAAGCTACCTCCAAAACTTAGCTGAGACTGATTGTTTGAAGACTATTTTCAGTTATTTGTTTTTCATTGTTATACATGTGAACAATCATGCCTAGGGCTTGAAAGTGTATTTGAATTAGAACTCATATCTTATGTCCTAATTGGGTAGCTTGAAAGATAGTAAGACCTGTAGGCGATTTAATTTAATGTTACATGTTGTAATGTTTTCATATTATTTAGTAATACTCTTGAAATGAATAATAAAGTGTTTTCTTTAAATAATGCATGTCAATGATATTATATATAATGGGTTTATTTTTAAGGGCGTGACAACTAAAGCCACCTCTGTAGTTATTTTGAGTTCTAAGAATTTTTCCTTCTTCACTTTTCTTCCCCCCACCCTCCTCCCGCAATTTTTTTTTTGAATCTGAATTGTCGAGCTAGAAAAGCATGAAAGTGTTTACCTTGTGGCTATTCATCAAATATTTATAACTACGTCAAGGTTTCTATATGTTTATATGATCCTTTCTCTATCTATTTTTCATAGTCTTTCATTTTTTGGTTTAATGCTCTTCAAGTAAATATGTTGTATCATAATAGAGCTTGCTCAACCAAAACACTGACCATAGAATGTAAAAGAGAAACAAAAAAACAAAAAAAGATTTAGCTTATAATATAATGATGAGTTATATTATCATATTAGGCAGCACGAAAAATTCATATATAACTTATTATTATCAAACTAATTGCTAGTTGCAATGAAATTACTAGCAAATATGTCTAGAAATGAAAATAACCTACTGCCCAACAATCTTTATTTTAAATCCCAATGCATTAGGATTATAACAGCACCACAAACACATCAATATTACCATCATAATATAGATCTAAGATGCGGCTTTACATCAACTGTAATATAATACAGCTAGGACAATAATCAACTACCCTCTTGTCATATATGGGAAACTAGCAGTTAGAGTGGACAAAATAGCATCATGCTGAATCACATCGTCCTAGTATCAAAATCACGACTGACATAGTTGTATAAATGCAAAGACAACAGGAAGACCACTCTAACTCTGAC